TTTCCAGAGAAATGTTGTCTGGAAGCTGTTGTTTGTTTAGCATCTGGAACCAGACGCACCAACAGTGAATCCGTGTGTAGTTAATTATCAGCTTTGTGATTGTAGGTCAGTCATTTTGCTTCTTGGAGCCTTCATGTCCTCATCTGCTATGTGAGAAACTAATAGTATTTCCTTTCTAAGATGAAATGAGAAATGAATGTAAAACACTTACCTGAGTGCCTGGTACATTTGAAGTGCTCAAGAGGTCTGAGTTGATAAATAGAGCAGCAGTGATTGATTCCCTCCCATTGCGGGGCAGATGGGGCTGGCTCCCCAATTTGCCCTAACAGTGGGCTATAAGAAGAGGCCCACATCTCTCTGTACAGAGGAGAAAATGGAGGACAGTTCACAGACACATTCACACTCTCCTGAGGAGACAGCACTTACAGAGCAGGGCAGGGCTGCTGAGTTCTTGGGGGGGTGGTGAGGCCCCCACTGGCCTTGAGGCTGGGGTTTCTTCACACAGTCTCCACATGTGGCTGAGTTTGTGCTGTGCAGGGGGCTCTAAGAGGCGGGCAGCCTCTCCCATTCAGGAGGCTGGGGGCCCAATCAACCTTCCTTCATCTCTTCTGCCCACTGATGATCAGGAAGTGTGATGTTTGTTCAGAACAGGGCGAACAAGCTCTCCTGGAATTGGGGCTGGAGGTCCAGTGACTTCCAAGGAAGAAAAATCCTTGGAATTCTGTGAGAGGTCTGGGTCTCAGCGAATAGAATAGAAATGTGGGCCTTGTCTTTGGTCCCTATTAACCAAATTAGTTCAGGTTCTGGAAGCCTGCTGGCCGCCAGCATTATTCCAGCAAGACATGGGAAAGTAATTAGATTGCCCTGGGTGTCCAGCAGACGGCCATCTCTTCACGTGGTACACATGTCCCCGCTAAACTTTTCGGGCTGGAGTCTTTTTATCAACCCCTTGGGACTCTGTCTCTCTTCAGGACTTTCCAGAGATGATTTCCTTCCCCAGCCCCAAGAGATGGTGAGTAGACTTAGTAGAATTCTGTGCCTCATTAGGGAGGAAGCTAGCATCAGGGATAAGGGGGTGACACATGGTGAGTCAGGGGCCATCAGATGAGTCCGGCGAGCCTCCCTCTTTTACTAGACAGGGAGGGTGGAGGGGGCAGCAAGTTCTGATAACTTCATGTCTCCAGGGAATAGCATGGTGGCTAGCAGGCAGGGAAGATGGCTGTGGAGTGTGCAAGGGAGGGAGGAGTGGCGACAGCGGCAGAGGTGAAGGAGAATGGTACCCCTTCAACTGTCAGGCCGGCCATGAGCCACAAGCCCAGGGAAAAGGCCAGAGACTTCGTCTTAAAAGATCGGGTTTGGGAGGGGTACAACCAAGGCTTGACTCCTGTATCTGCTACTTATCAGCTGTTTGATCTCAGACTGCCCAATAACCACGCCCAGCCTCAGTTTCCTGCTCTCTCTATTTGGAAATCATGCTTCCTTTATTGGGTTGAACGAGTCAATTTACGTAGCGTGCTTAGCATACCACTTGGGCCATAGGAGGCTCCCTAAATTTTGGCAGCTTAGAAAAAGAAAAACAAACAAAAAACTCAAGTGTTTATGGTTTTGGAGACTCTGAAGAGCTGCATCAACAGGTCCCAGCAGTTACTGGGAAAGGGAGTGATCGGCAGTAAGTGGGAGGCAGGACAGAGGAAGGCTCGGGGCTGGGGGGTGGGGAGATGCTGGTCTTTCAGAGTAGGTGAGCCAGCCCGTAGGCCCCCAAGAGAACAGGGTGGGGATTTCCAGGGACCACTTGGACTCACTGAGGAGTGGGAGGGGCGCCCAGTGGTGAGGGAAGTGTGTCTGCATGAAGCTCTTGGCCCAGGCAGAGCGGTGAATGGCTGAATGGGAGGCAGCCTTCCAGAAGTGCAGACGGAGCGGTAATAATGCCTTGGACACTCAGGAGGAAAAAATAGCTCAGGGACAAAGATGACGCCAAGGTTTCTGGCCTTGGGAGGCTCATAGGGATCTGAGGTGAGCACTGAGGGATGAAAAGGAGAGCTCCCAGAGGAAAGGGGCAGGTAGTGGGGAGAGGATGGAGCCTGGATTAAAGAAGAGGGCTGCAAGAGCCTAGGCTACCTTGCAGCCTTGAAGAAGCAGGAGAGAAAGGCGGTCTAGAACTGGAGACAGCCTTCGTCCCCAAATGCAAGGTGCAAGATTCAAGGAGATCCTTAGGGCCAGCCCAAAAGACAGTGAGCTTGGGCTAGCAATTGCCACCAGAAATTCAGTTTTTCTCTCCTAAAAAGGTGGGTCTGATGATAGCAGCCCTCCTGTTTGAGGGGCTCATTCTGTCATTCACGTACTCATCTGTTTAACACATATTTCTAGGTGTCTATTAGAGGTCAGCGCTGTTCTAGGTTCTGGGGGACAGTAGTGAGCAGAGCAGACCAGCTCTACTCCTTGAGAGCTGTCTTTGTGGCCTGGGAAGTCAGATAGTCAGGAGCTGGCATGTTGTGGAGCAGGATGTCTCCTGGGGTCTTCCCATTTCTGCAGAAGCTGCAGAGGCTAGAACAAGGACTAAATATTTTCACATTTCAAAGAGAAGTCCTAGATACTTTGCTGAAGGTGGAGTAGGCTCAACGATTCCAGTCTACAAATGAAAGGGATTGAAGAAAGCATCAGGCTAGAGAATTGTGGCACTGGTAGGCAGGGCTGGGTTTACCCTGAGGGTATGCCCCGATGCAAACTAAGTGGAGGGGACTCTAGTCATAGAGATTGGGGGCCACCAAGAAGAGAGGACTAGTGCCACTCACCATAGCTCTCCTTCCACAGATGCTGAGTTGCTGGAAGCTATAAGTACACCCATGCACTCAGGCACAGCAAAAAAGTTCTTGGGAGAACCCAACATATGTCTTTAAGAAGTGAAGGTTTATAAATGAAGAGACGTGGGTGTACTTCTGGTCTGGAATCTTCTGACTGGGGTGCTGGCCTCTAAAGTAGGGCAGGAGGGAGCCTCCCTGGTGGCGCAGGGGTTAAAGTTTCAGCACTATCAAGCTATCCACAGCCAATGCCACATGAGTTCCATCCCCAGCCAGGGAGCTGACCCACATGGTGCAGCAGACCTCTCCTGTCTCTTGCCACTGCTCCCCTCAGCAGTGTATTTCAGTAGATCTGCCTGTTTTGCTCCCCATTCTGTCCCTGGTGAGTCCTCTCACCCCCCCCCATCTGTAGCCTACACCCCAGTTCTTGTATGAATAAATAAATAAAAATAAGTCTTTTAGAAAATTTAAAAATGAAAGCAAGCAGGCAAGCAGGGCAGGAGCAGCCAACTCACCCTTGGTTTGCTGGCATGGATGAGGAACTCTCATGAGGGGTGGGAGGTATGCGGGTCTGCAGATTGGGCAAGGGTACTGCTCAGGCAGTGCGGGGAGGAGGTCCAGCTGGGAGCCTCCTAAGAACACACATGTGCCATGAAAGAGCCACTGCTTAGCACTTGCCAACCAAGGGCACCTGTCACAGGGGGTTTTGCCGCTTTCCCTCTAGCACCCCCCATCCGACCCTGACAGGGAGGAGCCACAGCAGAAAGGAAGGTCTGAGAAAAGCAGACCATGCCCCACTCTCCTCACTACAGGATCCTGGGCCGGGGGAGCAGGACACAAGATGATTAAATTGGATGAGGATGTGTTTGGACCAGTCCAGACATTGTAGGACCTGAAAATTGGTCTTAATTACAGAAATGAGACTTTCTGTGATTGTGGGTGGGTGGGAGGGCGGTGTGATTGCCAGGTCTTCAGGCTTCAGGCCACAGACCCATGGGTGACAGTGACATTCCTGCACCACTGCCCCCTCTTTGCCAGCACAGGAAGATGTGAGCACCTATGCCCGCGGTCAGTCAGAGCCTGTCCAAATCCCCTTGGAAATGCCTGGGAGCGTGAGGGTCTGGGATGGCAGCCCGGGGTTCAAGACTTCTGACCCCAGGGCAAGAGTCCTGGATTTCATTCCTCTCTGGGACACGCGCTGTCTCCTGGAGTGACCATATTCAAGATCGTCCACATCTCTGCCTCTGTGAAAAAGGGGCCACCTCTTCCAGGATCCGCTGGCACCGCTCGCCTCAGGCCTGACGCAAAAGGAGGGGCACTAAACTCAAGGAGCAGAGGCAGTTAGGCCCGGCCGGCCTCTCCGCCAGAGGCTGCACAGCCGAGACCGCAGCCCGTTCCACCAGAGGGCGCGCGCGCCCCGGCCACCCTCCCGCGCTCGCGCGCCCCGCAGCCTGGGAGCCAGGCGAGCTCCCCGCCGCCCCGCGGGCGCCCCTAGTGGCCGGGGCGGGAAGCGACGGGGCCGGGGGCCGGTCCCTGGGGTTCGCGTCCCGCGGCTCTCCTGGACTCCTCGCGACTCTCCAAACTGCTGCCTTGGCTGTTCCACCGCCAGGGAGTCCTTGAAGTCAGCGGCAGGAGCTAAACTTGGGCAAGAGCAGCAGCTCGAGCTTGGGGGGACAGGAGAGAAGTGGCCCAGGTGCCCCAGGCCCGCGGGCGTCGTCCCCAGCGGCCGGCGGGTCTCCCCGGCGCCGCCCCCAGCTCCTCACGGGTTAACCCCCCTCGCCGCGCGCTCGCTTCCCGGTGCCAAAGTGGGTGTTGCTGGAATTCCTCTCTCCCTCTCCGTAATGAGGGGGCTGAGCTGTCCCTCCGAGGAGGGGGCATGGTGTGGATAAAAGAGACGAAAAAGCAGGCGGAGGTTTCCAAAAATAAAGCCCTCCTGTTCCCCTCGGAAGGGCGCAGTGACCGCGAGCGGGCGCGAAGGTGCCGCGTCGGGCGCGCCCAGCCGGAGACCCTGCGACGTGCGGGGCGCGCAGCCCCGGGCCACCCTCCCCGCGCCCTCGCTCCGGGGCAGCCCGGCCCGCAGACAGGCCCGCGGCCCCCAGCTGCGGAGAAGCCCCCGGCCCGGCGGGTCCCGAGCGCAGCCCCGGCGGCCGCGCGCACCCACCGCGGGTCCCCGCGCGCCGCGCTCCAGCCGCCCCCGGCGCCATGAGGCCACCGACCACCGCCCGCTGCCCTGGGCGCTCCCCGGGCCGCCCCCGGTGGAGTCTGCTGCCTCTCACCCTGGCCGTCTTCGTGGGCGCGGGTCAGGCTCAGAGGGACGCGGCGGGAAGGTACGAGGCCGCTGGCAGGGACGCGACTCGACTGCGGAGCCCCGGGGGCAGCCACCCCGCGGCGGCTCCGGCCAAGGTGTACAGCCTGTTCCGCGAGCGAGACACGCCCGTCCTGGGCTTGCAGCCGGCGGAGCCGCTCCAGCCTGGCTGGGGGAGCCCCAGGAGGCCCGCCGAGGTGGAGGCGAGGAGGCCGCCCCGCGCGCAGCGGCCGCGGCAGGTCCAGCCACCTGCGCAGACCTGGAGGAGCGCTCCCTCGGGCCGTCAGCAGCCAGCACCCCGCACCCGGGCCGCCTCGGCTCTCCGGCGCGTCGCGACCCTGCAGCGGCCCAGGGCTGCGCCCCCAACCCCGCCGCGAGGGCGGCTCACGGGGTGAGCACTGGAGGGGGGAGCTTGGGGGTTGGAGGGAGAGAGGGACCCCCCCACCCCTCCCCCGGCCTCCAGTGCGCAACTTGGTGGAGGGAGATGCAAGCAAGAGAGGGTGCCAGGCCCTGCTCTCCGTCTCTCCCGTGTCAGTACTAAGGGGGAACAGCACCGAGGTCCCCAAGCTGGGGCTCAGAGATCTGACCTGCTTTGGAAGAGGTAGCAAAAGGAGATACAATCCTCACATTTGGGCACTAGCTCTCCAAGACCCCGCGTTAAATCCTTTCTCATGACGCTTTCGCGTGCACCTGCCCTCTTCCCTCCTTCGGGTAGACGACCCGGCAGACCTCTCTCAGCCTGAGGGGATATGAGAGGGAGCTCCAAGCACTTGGCCTGCTGGAGGTTGAGCTCTGTGGTAGTTCCGGTAGGTGGACTCCAGGGTGAAGGTAGAGACATCTCAGAGAAGGGGGGCTGGCAACAAAGTCCGTGCGTGGGGGTTCAGGGTATGGATTGGGATGCAGGTTGGTCTGCCCCCTCCCCGGACCCCCGCCCCAGGCCTAGAGATGGAGTGGCCATGGGCTTGGGGCACTTTGGACAGAAAGCCTGTCCCCCACGTGTGTGTGGGGGGCTCTATATGGGGCCTGTGCGTGGAAGTATAAGAACCACGTGTACACTTTCAGGGCTAAGACTCCCCCCAAACCCTTTTTGTTCTCTCCCTGGGGTGCCCCCACAGCAGGAAGACTTCCTGGCAAATCCTCATTTCCAGTCAGAGATTATCATGGTTGAGGGGTGCTCAGCCTTGACTGTGTGTGACAGGTGTCTCCAGAATGGAGGGCATGGGAGCCTTGAATGTGTGGGGACAGAAAGTGGCACCATCCCTGAAATCCAGAAGGGTTGTGGCACCCTCTTAGCCTGGGCTCGATTTCCCAGTTGATTTTAGTTCAGGTGCACAGCATGAAGGACGCTTGCATTCCATTCTATCTGAGGACATCCTGCCTGTCTTTTCCCCTTTCTGCTTTTCCTTTTCTCCTGTCCTTCAGCTGGATTCCTGGCTCCATTCAGATCTTCACTCAGAGAGGCCTTCTCTGGCTACCTTGTCCCACCCTCTTTGCCTTCATCCTGCTTTACATTTCTTTATAGCACTTACTGCCATCTGACAACCTGGCCTTACGATCTGGTCTCTCAGACCACGTATTGCAATGTTTTCTATGCAAACAGAGACTTTGTTTTGTTTATTGCTGCATCACCAGTGCCTAGAAGAGTGCCTGCAGGTGTTGGTGCTCATTAAGGATCTGTTGAATGAGTGAATGAACTCCCTGCTGCCCTTGGAAGGCCTGGGGGAGAGCAGACCCTTGCACTGCCCAGTCACTTATACATAGGCTCACTCAGCAGGTATCAACGCAGCACCTGCCATGTGTCAGTTTTTTTTCCCTTTCCTGGCCATGTACGTGAATGAAACTTCCTAAGAGCAGTGCAGAGTATGAGATAGAAGGTGGGGGCCCAGGGACAAAGACATTATTCCTGCCAGGAGTGCAGCTCAATTATTTAAAATTGAGTTGGAGAAATGAGTTGGTGAGCATGCTTTCTAGCACCGGAAGCTTCGCGTTAAGCACAGAGGAAAGGGGCAGTCGTGGTGGAGCAGCTCAAAGGAGGAAGAGACCCTGTGAGCTGGGGCCCCTGGGGCTTTGACTGCACTAGCCTCACAGGACTGCAGCCTGGTAGAGAGCACCGTGGAGACGAGTCTGGAGGCATAGTTTGGGCCAGAACATGGAGGAGCTCATAGTGCACACATTTGTGTGGGATTGGGCCGATGGTGGGCCAGTGAAGGGTGGGGGTGGGTTTGTGTACTCTTCAAAATCGCAAAATGAGGTTATCATTTTGTGATATAAGCGAAGCAGATTGTCATCACTGGAAGGCTGGTAGAGGTACCCAAGTGGGTGCCACCCACAGGCACTTGCTGAGCACAGGTGCACACCTCATCTCCCATGCTGTGTTTGGCTCCTCTACCCAACACCCTTCCTTATCTTCCGCAGGCTTGATAAGGAGTGGCTTTTTTTGGCAACAGTTCCAGCCAGCCACTCCAAGTCTTCTGGGGAGGAGCTGAGTGCCAGTTTTGTCCAGTAGCATCCTCTATCCAGGTCCATTCTAGGCTAATGGCTTGTAGCCAGACAGACTACAAAGCCCACCATGGCTTTGTGGGCTTCTCAGGACCAAGGACCAAGTGCCACCTGCTGGTAGAATGTGGAATTACATCACTACTACCGGGAATTGATCATTAATTCATTCAACAAATATTTGCAGCAGTCTGATTATGTACCAGGCACTCTGTTGGACCCTGGGGTTACAGAGAAACAGCCCCTGTACTTCTCTCTACTTGCGAGGTAGAGGGGATTTGTTGCACCCAGGGAAGATTTCTTAAGTATGTGCCAGGTACAGTGCTAGGTGTCTGGGATACAGTGTAAACAGAATGACTGAATTCTTACACTATGAAGTTTATAGTCTACTAGGAACTTTTTAAGCTACTGTTTCCAATCTTCAGTGTTTCTTGGACTAGCTTCGTGCACAACTTTCACAATGTTTTCTTCTATCATATCCCTCTTGTTCTATATTTTTCTTTTAATTTACATACTGTTAAAATAATAGAATCTTGTGTTTTATTGATTTTAAAGTATTTCATATAATGAAGTTTTGTACACTCATACAAAAAGGCATTAGAAATAATATAACTTGCAATCCAGCCTCATTGAACTTTAATATTTTGCTTCTAATTTTTTAATTTGAAATTTCCTCTATAAATTTGCCTCTCTCTCTTCCCAGCGTCAACCTCTACCCTGAATTTACCTATGATCCTAAGTTTTGTTTTTATACCATGACTAGAGATGCATGTCTCCATAAAATACACATAAAATGAGATAAGTGATATACTGTATTATCCTTCCACAATTTGCCTCCCCCATTAGATTTTTGAGACTTAACCATGTTAATATAATGAACCCAAATGTATTCATATTTTAAATGTTGCCTATTATGCCGTTGGCTGAATATATAACACAATTTATCCATCCTCCTGTTTTCTCCCTTCCTTCCTTCTTTCCTTTCTTTCTTTCTTTCTTGCTATTTTCTTTTCTTTTCTTTCCTTTTTTTTTTTTTTGCTATTACAAAGAGTGCTTGACTCATATTTCTATGTAGATTTATTTTCAAGGAAACTTTGTATCACAATCATAAATTGGAAATAATACCATCTGTCATACAGAGAAGATAAGTGTAGGAAAATTGAAACAACGAAATGTTCTCAAATTCTAGTCTGACACCATCATCTCAGGCAGCTCAATGCCATGGTGTGTTCTCCCTGCTGGACAGGGGGCCTGGCAAGTGCTCGGGGAGGACCTAGCATGGAGCACTCACTTCAGACAGATTTTTTTTTACTGATCTAATCAGACTAGAAAGGTCACTGAAAAGGGAATCGCTTTCTCACCATGTGTTTGTTGCATGTGTTTGTTGAGAGGTGTCACCTGGGAGTTTGGAGACATGTGATCTCCCCGTGGTAACTTCCAGGCAATCAGCATTATTAAATGTTGTGATTATAGAAACCTAAAACCCTCTTTCTACCCTGAGTGCCTCTCATCCACTTTTGGGGCAACACTAGATCACATGAAGCAAAGAAGCATTAAATGTGTACCATGTGTCAGGCACTGTGTTAGACCCTGGAGGCACAAAGAGGTATAAGAAAGAATCCTTAAGCTGCACAACACAGAGACACATATAACCTGAGTCAATCAGGACAAAATGATCACCATGGATGGTGGATGGGGAAGCCTGGGAGGATGTCAGGAGAGGTTTTACATGAAGGAGGTAACATTCAGTCTGGAAGTCTTGGCATATGCAAAGGATTTCAATTGGCAAAGAAGAGAGGGAAGACTTTCTCGGCAGAGAGAGCAGCTTAAACAAAGGCATCAAAATGTGACCATATATGGTGCAATTGAGGAATGACCAGCTTCATATCCTTGGAGGATCACAGCCTTGGTTGTAGATGGTCATAGAGACAGGAGTAGGGTGAGGGAGATCTGGGGGCGGGGGGTGCAATTAGCGTGCACAGACAGGTGGGGCCCGGTTAGCTGTGTCGAGAATCAGGCCGAGTCATGGGAGGTTTCTCACTAAGGGCCAGCATGTCCCTGGAGGAACGACTACTGTCCTAGGCTATTAGCCAGATATGTCTGCAAGGGTTGGCTAGTGGTGTGGGCTATTGGGTACGTGTTTGTTGAGAGGTGTCAGCTGGGAGTTTGGAGTCATGTGATCTCCCCATGGTACCTTCCAGGCGTTCAGGATGCTGAGTGGTTTGTCCCAGTGACTCAGACTCCCGCTAGCCAGCACTGCTGAATGGATCTCTCAGCTGACTACCAACCTAGGTCTGCACCCAAGACTCTAATATTGGCCTAGAAAGATTCCTCAGAGGCCACCATTGGGCACCTGAATCCTGCTGTAGTGTCTTCCCAGCCCCAGCCTGGCCCCACATGTGCAGCCTTTGATTCTGGTCCATCCTCACTGTGACTCTGACAGCCCCAGGAGCTCAGCTACAGAGCTATCCTGAAGGCCTCTGTGTTGACAACTGGCTGAGGGGGCCTCCTTGGGCTGGGCTCCATGCTGTGACCTCCCAGTCTTAGAAAACTCCTAAGGCATGTAGTCTGCTTCCTCTGGAAGGCCACCTAGGCCTCACCACCATGAGGGGTGGTAGTTTACAGATGGATGGTCAGTTTCCCCTTCCACCAGGGTACACTCTCAGAAGCCCTGGGTATGAGGACCGGCCCCTTGCCCAGAACCAGGTGACTTGGGGCCCAATGAAGAGATTTCGTGGAGCCAGGAAGTTGCTGAAGGCATGGGTCCTGAGAGCCTTTGGGATGGCTGGAATGGCAAAGCTCTTGGCCAGGAGGACATTCTGGGAGCTCCCTGGGAGGTGGCTCCCCATAACTTTGGGCTAAAGGGCCAGTTTTTTCAAGCTGCAGGAATTTATTTTGAAAGCTTTGTAAGGCTCCCAAAACCACACAGGCTTTGGGGTCCACTCAAATGTCAAACAAACGCCTAAGCAGGAACAGATGCTTGCTGTGCTGGCCACAGAAGTCGCAGGAGTGGCCGCTGCTCTGTCCTTTGCCCTGACTCACCTCACTATCTCTTTGCCCCTATACCCCACTCACCCTCCGTTTCAGTGAGGATTCAGTAGCCCATTTTGAATTCCAGTGACAGGGTCCATGAAGCCAAAGCCAGCCTGACTCAAAGGGTCAGACGGCCCCCAGAGGAAGAACCTTCTATGGGAGGGGACGTCGCCCAGATCTAGGCATCTGGGTCTTTGGGTTGAGAGTTAGGGGTGGGTGAGAGCTGCTTGTGCTGCAGAGGGCCTTGCCAGACACCAGAACATCAAGTTCGGGTGCATTGACTGAGTGCCTCAATGGTTATGGTAGGTCAGTACCTCTCGAGGGTGCCCTCAGTGCCAGCACCAAGGAGTAATCTAGGAAGGACCACCCCATCAAATGAGTTCCATTAGTCTCCCCAAATTGTGTGCTTCCTAAGCAGAGGCAGCCTCATCTGAGTCGCCAGCCCCCTTCTTCCAACCAACTCTTAAGTTCCTCTGAATAGAAATTCCACAGCCCAGTTCCTTCATCATCCTGTGCCCAGTCTTACCAGGCCCCATCTGCCCAGGCAAAGCCTCCTCCCGGGTGCATTTGTGGCAGGTGATGCGTGTGTGTCCTGGAGGCTGTTGTATGCGTGTCTTCCAGCTTCTCTCCTAGTGTCAGCACTTGTTGGGCAAGAACCGTGGTGTTTATTTTTTTGGTGAGAGGCAGTGTAGAGTCGGAGCCTGACTTAGAGTTGGGCCAACTCGTATGTGAATCCAGCTGCGACATCCACTTATTATTTAGCCTTGGCAAGTGAGGGGGCCCCTCTGAACTTCCTCTTGATCATCTTCATGATCACTGTCATTGCTGTCCCAGTGGATCGCCTGCTTTGTATCAGGTGCAGTCTAGCCCTGTCTCATTTAATCATCCAGCCAACAGCTCAGCATGTATTGTCACCGCCATTGCACAGGAGGAGAGAGTCAGGTTCCCAAGGGTGCACAGAAAACGGCAGAGGTAGGGTCCAATCTCAGATCTGCAGGATTCCAAAGTGCCTGCCCCTGGCCCAGGAGGAGGACAGTCTGCCCAGCCTGACAGTGCCCCCAGACCCCTCCTGTAGAGAGACTCTGTGACTAGTCCCCTCTAAGCTCACCTGTGCTGACCCTGTTTTGGTGACCCCCCTAGGAGGAATGTCTGCGGGGGACAGTGCTGCCCAGGGTGGACGACAGCAAACAGCACCAACCACTGTATCAAACGTGAGTACCCCCCCCACACATTGATCAGAACCTGGAGCAGCCCTGTCTTCCCCAGCCTGCCTATCGAGGATGCCACCTTGGAGCGGAGCGATGTGCAGTGGAAGAGACATGTCAAAATGTTTCCAACTAAAATCAACTTCCCATATAGACTCCCCACTCGTGTTTTTAAAGCTTCCTGCATTTCACTCTTGCTGCCCCATTGTCAGGGGCCCCCTCGCCTTGACCACTGGGTCTCCAAATGCCCAGGCTGCCCTATGGGCTGCAGAATAGGCCTGCCAGAGCCTCCTTGCCTCACATTTTCAGGGCCACACTCACGCTGCATGCTTGGGGACTCCACCTCTGCCCTGGGCCCTGACCTCTGGCCCTACAGTCCTGGCCTCCTTCCAGAATGGACACAGTTAATGGCTTAAGTGTCTGCCAAAACCAGTGTTCCCAGCCCTGCTGGAGGCCTCATCTCTGATTCTCCTGACATGGGGATGTGATAGGACAAGAATGAAATGGGGAGCTTCCCTTTCTTCTGGGATGGAGAGGCCGGCTCAGCCAGCTCTTGGACCTGACTCTCGCCCAGGCTGACAATGAGGCTCAGGCAGAATCTTGGGTCTTCTAAGCATTTCTAGATAAAGCTGTCGAAACCCAAAACTCAAAAACAAACAGCAAAGATCTGCCTGAAGATCCTGTCCCTTTCAGGGAGCCTGGATTATTAGTGGGGACTCTCAGAAGACACACCCTCTATGACTGGGGTGGAGTTGGGGGGAGGAACACTTGACCTTCTTCATTGTATAGACAAGGCAGTGAGCCTCAGGAGCAGTGGCTGGCTCAAGGTCACATGGCTCCTTGGAGGATCTGTGACTCCAGATCAACTGCTCCTCTGGGGCAGAGAAGCCAGGATGTGGATCCTTGAGGTTTTGTGCTACATGGAGGCTCTGGCTGGGATCTGTGCACTGGCATTGTTGTTTTTTCAAAGCACTCTAGGTGATTCTAGCCTGGGCTGAAGACCCCTGAGAAGAGTTGGGTCAATTATAGGAAGATCTCTGGGTGCCCTACTCAAATTTGAATATTCCCACAAATCCTCTGGGCTGGTATTAAAGTGCAGCTTCTGATTCAGCAGACCTGGTGGTGGGGTTGGAGATTCTGGAGATTCTTGCTTTTTAACAAGCGCCCAGGGGACGCTGATGCTACTGGTCCAGGGACCAACACTGAGTCTCAGGACTTGAGCTTAAAGGAGAAGGGGGTGGGGGAGGCTCACTCTGGAGGCCTGGGATGGGACTTGGGGTTGGAGACTAAGTTCTAGCGAGCTAAGCAGACTCTGGCTGAGCTTTGAGTTAAAGCAGGAGCGGCTTAGCCTCAGAGGGGGTGGGCTTCTCACAGGCTGCCTGAGGGTCTGGGCATGGGCCCGGCTCCAGCTCTGGACGTTCTGTTTCCTAACTTGCTCACAATTTTCCAGCACTAGTCTCTGCCAAACTGGAATTTCAACACTGGAAACTCGAGGTTGGATGAGTCTGCAGATTGTCTGAACCCACGTGTGTGCACCCTCATGCCCAACCACTCCAGCAAGCTGCTGATAACCCCCACCCTGGGGGTCCTTGGCCCCTGTTGCTTCTCTCCCCCAGCCCCTCACCTTGCTGCTCCCCAGGTAGCCCCCTCACCCAAGCACAACATAGGTCGCAGTCCTGGAGGAAGAGGCAGTTGGCCTCAGCCTCTCCCTCTTGAAGCCAGCTAGCCCACTGAAGGTCTGTGTGTTAATTAACTGGGCCGGTGCTGTTTGCTGGTTGCTATTTTGCTGCTAATGAGCCTAATGAGAACCACGTGGGTGGAGGGGTGTTGGCCCTGGATGGCTGAGTCCAGAGCTCGGAGCTCAGTAGAATGTGGGGCTCCTGGCTTCACAGCCTGTCAGCTGGCTCTCCAACTTACCCCCGTCGTTTGCCTCTCCCTCTCCCCTCCCCGCAGCTGCCCTCCTGGCTGGAGCGGAGACTGCCAATGCCAGGGAATGCTCATGATTCTGTCCTAGCAGTTTCACACATGTGGGGTACCTCCTTGGCCAGCAGGAGAGAGGAGCTGACAAGGAGGGGAGTGTGGCAGCCTCTCACTGCCAAGCATGAAGTCTAATCTCCAGATTGTGGGTCCAACCCAGGTGCAGGGAATGATGCCCCCTGTGTCACCCCCGGGCCCCTGATCTCTCACAGAACCCCAAGTTGCTGGCACAGTCCATCTGCCCTGCAGCCCCTTCAGTCCAGTAGCCTAAACTTGGGGAGCCACTGAGTCTGCAGGTGACCAGTGCTGGAACACAGCTTCTCCCCGTTCCCTCTTGGGGTCCTGAGCTGGGGCCTCATCTCTTCCTCTGATCTTGGTTTCTGCTTCACTTTGTGACTTTGCCAGTGCTGTCTTGCAATTTATGTGTTTGTGTATTTGTGGAGGCAGCTGACTGGGGCCGCCTGGCCCCCTCAGCTGAGTGAAAGGACTATAGGGTGTGGGGTGACTGGGTCCTGTTTATAGTTAGGACTTTTGGAAAACTGTCCAGTCTTCCCAGACTAGCTCACCCCGACACACACACACACACACACACACACACACACACACAGAAGCTCAGAAGCTTTTGGGGCTTCTGAAGGCTCACACTGAAGAAGTCTAAATTTTTACTTGATCGCAGCTTGGGTACACAGGGAGTGGGGCTGTTCTGGGGAGGGCAGAAGGAAGTCTCTGGAGCTGTTAGGAAGGGACAAGGTGGAATTCCAACCCCATAACCCCCACCCCAAGCGGTAAGGTTCAAGATTAAGAACATGGACTTTAGATTCTGGCACCAGATCCAACAGAATTGTGGGTTTGAGTCCCAGCTGGGTCTGCAGACTAGTGACAGGCCTTCCTCTAGCCATTGCGCCTCGGCCATAAAATGGGTGTGATAATCTATATGGAGTTGCTTTTGAGGATTACTAGTAATACCCTGTAGTTCTTACTAAGGGTCAGGTACTACTCAAAAGACTTTATATTACCAATTTTAATCCTCACAACAACCCTATCAGCTAGAATTAATCTTTGTCCCATTTCCAATGAGCTTGGATGGGAAGCCAGGTAGCCTGGCTCCACAGCTTACTGCTGTGCTCTTGCTAAATGTGAAAGTGTGTGCAGAGAGCCTGGCACGTGGTGAGTTCAGCTGTTATTTTAGTGTTTATAGTTAGGGCTTTTGGAAAGCTGTCCAGGAGACCCTGCTGACTGCCAGGGTTGAAATGCCAGCATCACCACTTAGTAGTCATGTGACCATGGGCAAGCGGCTTAAGTTCCTTGTGTCTCCATTTCCTCTTCTGTCAAATGTGACTAATAGGAGTCCCTGCCTCACTGAGTGGTAAAGGACAGATGAGATAATGCTGGTCAAACATTCCGTTCAAGACCTGGCATGTTCTATGCCCTCTGTGCATATTTGGCCTTGATTTTGAGGGCAGGCCCCCAGCATGAAGTGTGGTGGCAAGTGTTTGTTGGAGACAGGGTAATGGCTCTGCAAGTGTGTGCTGAATAGTACAGGGTCTCTCCCAGGGCTGTGCTGAGAGGTCGCCTTCTGCCGCTCTAATTCTATAAGACCTTCTAGAAAACTACCCATGATACTCAGGAGATTCTTGAGTGGGCTTGGGCATCTGTTCCTGTTTCCTTGATCCAAAAACTCTGTGTGCATGTGGTTATTAGAACGGCCTCCCTTCTGGTCCACGTCTCAGTGCCAAGAAGATCCCATTGCTCCTGACCTGAGCTTCTCCTTAGAAAGCTTCCCTGAACCACCTGCCCCAGCCCTGGAATGACCCCTGCCCAAAAAGGAGAGCTATGGCCCAGTGGATCAGAGCCCCAACTTTGGAGACAGAGTCTCTGGGCTCACACCCTTGTTCCACCACTTACTAGCTTCAGGATGCTGGGCAAGGTGCTTGATGCTCTCAGCCTCTGTTTCTCCATATGTGTGGGGGGATGGGGATGAGAATCATCCCTATGGCACTTCTGAGAATGAAGAGAGGAGATGCATGTAAAGAAGTTAGCTCTGAACCTTGTAATGGTAACTGCTGAACAAACACTAGGGAAAGAGTCGGGGTGGGGGTTGGGGTTTGCTTGTTATTCATTGACTGATTGGGAACAGTCTGGAGTCAGAGGCTTGAGCCTATGGGTGCTCATCTCTTGGTGAACCACCCTTTGAAATTGCGCAGATGGCAGGGAATGGTGAAGAGGGACTGGAAGTAGCCAAGGGAAATCATCACACAACCTCAGTGAGGACCCAGCTAACAGAAAAGGGGTAGGTCCAGCTAGAGGCACTGCCCATCTCTCCCCCTGCCAGGTAAGGTCACCTGAGAGCTTTCTAGTGAGCAGGTGTGTGTCCCTGAGGCTCTTTGCTCAAAGGAGTATTTAGGAAGAAGAGGACTTACCTAGGGGCTTCCAGAAGCTGAGTGCTGTGTCCTTGCACCAGCTCAGGGCATGGTACCTACTTGGTATACATGTTTGTTAAAGAATGGAGTGGGCAGACGGCCACTTGGGTGGCTTGGTAGTTTCCTTCTGCCATCCCCAGCTGCCTTTTCTTGCCTCCTTGGCTGGCTTCTCATTTCCTACCCAATCTCTTACTACTAGGCTGCCCCAGATTTCTGCCCAATCTTCCAAGTCCCCCACACAAAGAGAGGCACCCCAGGAGGCATGTCAAGCAGAAGTTGCTCCCCCATTAATATCACTAGTAGGTATTACGCCCAGGTGCATAGCCTGCAACAACAACACTAGTGGCAACAGTAGCTCTGTGCCAGGGATCAGGCTAAAGTCTTCAACCCCTCCCCCCTGATAGTGACCATCATATCATTCTCTGCCCTGGCCTCCTGCTGTGTCCCTGGTCATTGCTTCTCCTCTGCCCAACAACCAAGTCTTGGGTTTCTCTGGATCCTCCTCTTTTCTTTCTCGCTGGACCACTTCTGGAATGATCTAATGCATTCCCATGAATGTAAACATCGTCTCTGGGCTGACAACACCCAGATTTATATACATCTTCCGCC